TATGCTGCATCGACAAGAGGTCCCTTGTGAGAAAGTGGGAAGAAGCAGTTCAGGGACTGAGGCTTCTGTTTTCTTCAATCCTTTGGACTATTAAACTTTAATTTCATCAATATCCATCTACCGTCACCTCTGCCTCCCTCAGCCTGCTAGTTCTGCCTCCTTTTCCTTCTTTTTACGGCCGAACGCATTTGTCAAATATACACAGATTTTTATGGGAGCCTCCTTCATCTCATTTTGTCATTAGTTATTTATAAACTATTTTTTCACCCAGTAACACAGTAACATAGTGAGCAACTGTCCACGTAGGTTTTTTAGCGATACCATTTTCTATTGTAAGGGTATGCCTCCTTTTATACCCCCCAGCTCTCTCTTCAACATTGCCAGGGTTTCTTTGATAACAATGTGTGTTATTAGTAACACTGTCATGATGTCCTGTCAACTGGGGAAGTTGACCAAGGAGTCAAGCCTCACCTAACACCTGTGTGTCCTTGTGAAGTGAAGAGATGGCAATGAATTGCAACCATTTTGAAAATGCCCACAGACATTTTCTGTGAAATAAAAATAAATCTGAAAATGAAGTTTTTCCAAATCATTTCCCTGTTGCTTTTTAGAGTTGATAACTGATGCAATTCATTTATGTATGTATGTCCTCTGATTTAACAATTTCAATCTTAGTTGTATGCCCAATGTTTCTAGAAATGTAGAACATTATCAGAAATGTCCTAATTTTGTGAAGGAGCTACTTCTCTGAAAGCAGGATTAGAACTGTTGACACTGTTGCTGGTTTTGTAGTTTGTTATACTTTTGACCCTTAAAAGTCTCATGAGTTCTTCTGTCCCAAGTTCTCAATGTGAGATTATCACTAACTGAATGTTAAGGGCTCCCCCCTCTTTATCAACATGTGAATTTTTTCAATGCCTGAAAGGCACTGAATTGAATGAGGGGAGCCAGCATTGTTAATCAGGTGTCATTTGCAATCCAAATATCCAGAGTTGAGGTTCAGAGACATTAAACTAGAAATAGCATCTTTAAAAGTTTGAATCACAGTACTTGGATCACAGTACAACTTCCTCCTGGTAGTTTCCAAACTCAAGTCTGAAAGGATTACTAATGGGCATGGAGGTAACCAAATATCCTGTAATTTCCTGAATAAACAAAAATAAGATTCTAACAATAACTCAGTTCCAATCGTTTGCATTCTTACAGAAAAACCATGTTATAGTTAATTTCTATCACATTCCAGCATGGTACAGATGGCTCATGAAACCGCTTTCCATTATTTGATTTTGATAAGAATATGTTTCCACTCAACTTCAAAGGATTGAGTCATTTAAAACCTCCCTCTCGGCTGCTAGACACTGGTCTGAGGACTGTGTTATAAATGGGTACAACCACTTTGGAAACACAATTGGTCAGTATGTTAAAAGGCTGTGCATTTTCAGGCCTCCCTGGTGGTGCAGGGGTTAAAGACAGTGCTATCAACCTATCTGCAGCTACTGCAGCACAAGTTTGATCCCAGGCCAGCCAGGGAGCAACCCACATGGCGCAGCAGACCTCTCCTGCCTCGCCCACTGCTCCCCTCAGCAATATATTTCAGTGAATCTGCCTGTTCTGTTCCCCACTCTCTTTGGTGAATCCTCTCACCCCCTGAACTCTGGCTTACACCCCAGTTCTTGTATGCATGAATAAACAAATGTAAAAAAAAAGCTGTGCATTTTCATGTCCTCTGATTTAGCAATTCCAGTCTTAATGATACACCCACCAGAAATGCATCCATATGTTCACCAAAACCATGTACTAAAATGTCTGTAGAGTATTGTTTATAATAGCCCCGAGTTGGAGACTGTAGGCAAAGTGGTATTTTTACACATATTATACCAGGATGAGAATGTTATATATGTATGTATATATATGTTAATGTATGTATGTGTGTGGGGGTTATGTATACATCCTCATATACACATTAACACATACAAAGGAATCTCAGAAACATTAACTTGAGTGAAGGAAGCGAGACACAGTGTACATACTGTAGAATTCAATTATCCACTCTAAAAAGCAATAGGGAAAATATTGGAAAAACTTTATTTTCAGATTTATTTTCGTGTCACAGAAAATGTGGAGATTGTCAAAATGGACACAATTCTTTGCCATTCTTGTCATCAAAAGGCTGAATGAATTTATATGCTCACATAAAAAATGTACAGAATGAGTCATTAATATTCTTTCATTTGATGAGATTCCTTATGAATTTGCTTGGGGATCACTAAATCCAGGGCTCCTGATCTCTGTATAAACTCTAAGCCTGACCACCAAAGTCCATCTCACGGCCCCCTAGACCACACAGGCTGGCTCAAACCTGGGAACTTGCTTTATTCACTCTCTATGGGAATTTACCCACTGCACTGCCATGAACTATCTCCTTTCTGTTCAGGATGATTCCTACAATGGTCTGGTCTGTTAAATCTACTTTGCTTAATCCATGCACTCAGGTGTTCCTCTCCCAGAGGAGCAAATCTGCATTATTGATCCCATCTGTTCTCTGAAATATAATGTCATAAAATGTTTGAAGAGATCCTACTTTCTCACTCCCCCCAACACACTTAGTGAAATGATAAGGAAACCAACAGCCCCTTCTATTTGGAGCCTCTAAGTATGTGGGAGCTCAGTCTGTGTGGATGGTTCATACAGGTCTAGAGGACACAGTCTTCCAGCCTTTCTCCCCATGTAACTATCCAAATCTCAGTTTGCTTAGGTCATTTACTGACCCAGACTTTTAACAACCAAGGTCTTTTTATCATGTCATTTGACCTTCATCATTACTATGTAAGAGAGATAGTATGAGGAATTATTATTCCTATTTTATATATGTACTGACTGGCCTCAGCCAGTGCACAGGATAAAAATATATCTGGGACTAAACCTCACCAATATGCGGTGGTGTGTATATTTCTCATTGACTAATTCCTGTAGAAGGAATATTTGCCAGCTTTTCAGTGTATGTATTTCACAGCCCTCACTGACTATACACAGTTTTGATTCATCTGGATTATCTCAAAAAATAATCATTTTTCCTTATATGTCTGAGCTTTTATGCAAACGTATTCATAGCCACTTCTTTACTAAAGACCAAAATATGTTCCATAAGCAAGCATTAAATCATTTTCATTAAGAGGATCACTTTCCTTTGTATATTTATTCTCTAAAATGAGGTAGACTTTGTTTCTTTTTTCCCCAGAGGTCTATCCTTCACATTTGTCCATTTTTACCTTATTAACAGTTCTCCAGATATGATAATTAATGATTCTGACCATGTCCCTGCACAATTAGCTCCATGCTGGGCTTGTAGGAGAAGCACACATGGTCTCCAGGGAGAGCCCGTGAGCCAAGAGAGGACCCAGGGCTTGGAGTCAGGAGACCAAGGCTTTTGACCTCTTTGCCCCAAAATTATATTATTTCTGTACACTATTTACTTTATTTTTTTATTTTTTTAATTTTTTTAAAAGATTTATTTATTTATACAAGCACTAGGTACAGTCAGAAGCGCGGGAGGGTGAGAGAATTCACCAAAGCCAGAGCAGGGAGCAGAACAGGCAGATTGACAAAGTACACTGCTGAGGGGAGCAGCGGGCAGCAGGAGAGGTCTGTGCACCATGTGGGACCCTCGCCCGGCGGCCAGGGATCAAACCGGCACTGCAGAGGCTTCTGGCAGCTTCGCAACCCAGCGCTCAACCACTGCGCCACCCGGGAGGCCCCATTATTTACTTTCTTAAATAAATTTTGGAGTATTATAATATCTAGCAAAGACTCTTGCCTAGTGAATCTTACTTTAAAACAAAGAGAAAATAATCTCGAGAGTCTAATTTGTTCTTAGGTAAAAGATATAAATGCTGAAAATCATTCTGTTTTAAACCGTTCTAATGGAATATTTAAATTCCTGCTGAAACTGGCATGTAGTGTTAAATATAGTTAGAAATGTACCTACCTTTGCTGTTGGCATAACTATGAACCGGGGTGGCCATATTCAGGGCCCTTCTGTGGGCATGTGGGCACAACTGATCAAAAATGACTAGCATATGGGAATGGAATATCAGATAAATAAGGAGAGTTGAGGCTCAATGTTGCCTAAAATGAAAATCTGCCAATCATAAAACTGGGCCAGTTACTTGTATATGACACGCAGGCTGAGAGACTGAAGGCCAGGGGAAGTAAACAAAAATAAAGAGAAATTCGAGAACTTTGAGCTCAGGAGCAAAGAGAAACAATGAGGGAAAGTTTCATGCAGCAATTAATATATTTTTAATTTGATAATATTTTATAATTTAGCATCTATTTTGTGCTCATCCACTAGAAGATACAAATAAATGCATTATAACATGAAGAAGGGAATAAATTCAATACAGGGTAATTTTATGAGTTACAGCACAAGACAATGTACAATTCTGCAGGGTATGCCTCAAATATAGATAATAGAAGACACTCTAGCTATGTGAAATGAAAAGGTATTTAATACAGAGAACCAGGTACTAACGGAAAGTGTTGGAGGGCAATAGGAACCTCTAGTCTCTGCCACAAAGAGTGACTCCCAGCTCAACATCCAGAATAAAATAACCATTGAGGACTCTGGAACAACAGGAAGCCGTCACCAAGATGTTGGCCCCGGAGCCCTCAATGTTAGCCAGGTACTAAGACAACGAACTCATGCATGGCCAACTGTCTACTTCACTTAGCCCACTTGGAACTTAGAGTCTTAGAAACCCCATTTTGAGCCACATCCAGAGAGAATTCTCTATACAAGGGATATTCATGCCATCCTAGTCCACAAAGAATGCACAGAGCAAGTCCTGGGAACACAACCAAGAGACTGCAGTTGATGTGGACGTAGAAACGTTTTGTTAGCCTGAATAACATCCAGCTGAGGCATTAAAGGAGAAAGGACTGAGGATGGATGAGCAGGCACCAAATCAAATCATTTTTTTCACTCATCAATCCTTAATAAACTAGTTAGATCGGGCAGCCTGGCAATTGGTTAGTTTCTTCAGAGCTTCTTTGAACTCTCGGTTCCTTAGACAATAAATGAAAGGGTTGAGAGCAGGGGTGACGATGGCGTAGAAGATAGAAATAACTTTGTTCATGTTGAAGGCATGGATGGCTCGGGGGCGGGCGTACATGAAAATAGTAGCCGAATAGAAGATGGTGACCACCACGAGGTGGGAGCCACAGGTGGAGAACGCCTTCTGCTTTCCTGTGGGCATGCGTAGAACAGTGACCAGAATGCACCCATAGGACAGGACAGTGATTGAGAGGGGAAACAGGAAGATGACTAGGGCCAAGACAAAGTCCACCAGCTCCGCTATGGACATGTCTGTACAGGAGAGGTTGAGCACTGGAGAGATGTCACAGAAGAAGTGATTGATGACATTGGGGCCACAGAAGCTGAGGCGGGAGATGAAATAGATCTTAGCCAAGGAGATTCCAAAACCAATGGCCCAGGAGCCAAGAGCCAGACGGAAGCAGAGTCCGTGTCTCATGATGGTGGGGTAGTGGAGCGGACGGCAGATGGCCACGTAGCGGTCATAGGCCATGGCGGCCAGGAGCACACATTCTGTGCACATGAGCGCGATGAAGAAGTAAAGCTGTATCATGCAGTGAGTGAAGGAGATGCTGTTATTGCTGGACCAGAAACTAAACAGCAACTTGGGCACCGTCACGGAGATGTACCAGGTCTCCAGGAAGGACAGGTTGGCCAGGAAGAAGTACATAGGCTTGTGCAGCGGCCGGTTCTGCTGCACCAATAGGATGATGATCACGTTTTCTGCCATGGTCAGAATATAGGCCACCAGGAACAGAAGGAACACAGACGCACGCATGCCTGGACTCCCAGGGAACCCCACTAGAATGAACTGGCTGACCCGAGTCTGGTTCTCCACTTCCATGTTAGGGACACACGACTTAGCTCTCCTGGGGGGGGGGGTGGAAATCATTTAGTCAGACTCCCTTGTCCACTTAGAACCTTCCATTCTTTGCCATCTCTGAATAGCAGTAACAAGTAACGTAGCATTTATTAATACTATGGATAGGTTAGGCCATACCTAGGGCGCATTATTCATGTAATGTGATTTGATTCCCACATTGCCTCTTTATATATATTCTATACCCACTTTACCCACTTCAGTGGTGAAGAAACTGGCTCTTGTTAAAATATGAACCGACCAAGTTCCTACTGGTAGCAAGACACATCACTTTCACCTCTAAGTCTGAAGCCCTGCTACTGTCCTGCATGGTCTTCACCATCACGTCCACATTAAACAGCATCAAAACTCCTCATTCCATGTTAGCTTTGCTGATGCCAAAGGATATACGTGGCTCCTGGCCCTTATCTACCCAGAGCTCCAGAAGTCCTTTCTTTCCACTCGCTCATCCTTCACGTATTACCACTTCCTTGGACTCGACCACCAGTGGAGATGGCGGGTCATTGCCAGCCTCTGTGAGGGACATTAGGAACATTAGGGAGATGAGGAACATTAGGGTTGTCGGTGTTAAAGACCAGGAACCACAGCCAAGGACCGGCCTGTCCCTGGCTTATTATGTGACCTTGCGATCTTAGTCTCTGATACCCAATTTCCTCTTCTGTAAATGTCATTGCACTTACATCACTATGCATGGAAATGCAAATGAAACAATGCAAATGAAATTGTATATAAAGTGTAAGTGACCCTGAACATGGGAGGGGTTCTAAGCTTGGGTGAGCACAGGGAAAAGGGCAGGTGTGGGCTAACAGGAGGGTGGAGAGGAGCCACTGGCTGCTCATCAGAGCTGTGAGCAAACAAACAAGCACTTCCTCTCAGGGAGTTTTGATTCCTGGGGAGTGGGGCTGAGATTCTCTGGAAGAGGCTGTTTTGAAAAGCAAGAGTACAAACACAAAATAAAATTCAGACATTTTCTATGAAGGTTAAAAAAAACAGAAATTGACACAAGAGTGATCTGGCGAGGTCGCTCTGACCTCTGAGGAGGTGACATGGAGACAGGAAGGATTCCAGGGCCCCCTCTTTGGAGAGCTGAGGTGGAAGAATCTGCCTTGAAATATGGTGACCAGACAGTGGGGAGCTGGGGAGGGCAGAGGAACAGGTGGAAAAGGGGGGAAGGTCCCCCCCGGAGGGCCCCCCCAGCCGAAACCAGCGACTGGATAGCGGTCTGCTTGCAGTGAGAGCTTCTAGGACGTTTGCTTCTAGGACCTTTGCTCCTTTAACACAATATCCCATTTAATCCACCGAACTATTCCACGGAGGTGTTGTTACTCTATTTTTTCAGAGACACTGCACTTCAGACAGATTAGGGAGCATTTCCAAGTTATCGGGTGATAAAGTCAACCAAGGTCAGTCTGACTGGGAAGGTGTGACCTTGGCCACTAATCTGACTCACAAGCAGATGAAGAACTGCCTATTTGGGACTCACCACCACTTTTTTTACATTTAAGCTTCCTGTTTTAGGAAACGTTTGCGAATACCATGGAGGTTTCATTAGAGGCTTTTGAGATGCACCAAAAAAATTGTTTAAAACGACACAGGTCCATATTCAAGCAGACATACAAACTTGAATAGATTACAGAATAGCTTGGCCAGTCGATCAGAAAAGACATAATCAGTGGTCTGGGTCTTTAAAAACAAGTGAGAGGACGAGGGATTTTAAGGAGATGAATTAGCATGAACAAAGGCATAGAGCTGTGAGGCAGACCCAGCATTTTCAGAGAATTGGCTCATTAGTCCTGATTGCTGTGTGACCAGGCAAATTGTAAGTGACGAAATTAGTGGAAAAGGGAAAGCGTGTGTGTGTGTGTGTGTGTGTGTGTGTGTGTGTGTGAGAGAGTGAGAGAGAGAGAGAGAGAGAGAGAGACCCCACAGAGACTGACTGACTGTCCAGATCGTGGACACTTTCATGTAAAACATGAAGGCTTATAAAAATGATCTTGTCGCTTAGACAGTAAGCAATCACAGAATATCGATAGCATTCTCATAATTCTCCCTGGCCTTTATGTGAGATGAATTTGGATTTGACAAGTTGCTAAACCAGAGGCTGAGAGACCATTTGGAAGAGATAACACCCCAGATACAAAACGTTCAGCAAAGAAATGGAAATAAACGTGGACATACTCGCTCCCATAGTACACTCAGCTGTGCACTCTCGGAGGCGGCCAGACCAAAAAAAAACTCCCTATGTTCCATCAACTAAACTAAAAGAGAATAAACACCAATTATTGCCTCCTGATAGAACTGACCAGATTTATTGTCAACCTATAGCTTTACCACCCCTTTACTCGTGATCCCTCCTATCCCATTACAGTTACTCGAACTTGTCACGGCTCGTAGATTTTTACCAAGGATCCAGCACCAACCACCCTAGTTTCTTCTCTCCATCGCTGTGCCTGCTGAGGACGCGCTGTTCCTTCATTTTGTCTAGATTCTGTACAAATGTAGGTTCCAAATATATTAACTTGGATGGAAATGCCACCCCCATCTTTGCCAAGAAAACGGCAGGTTTTGTAACCACCATCATAAACAAATTTGGCCAGCAGGTGCGGCCAGCAGGTAGGATCTGCAGTCGGGATCAGAATGGGGGCACTGATTTCTCACCCAACGCCAGGAGATGGACATCAAATGGCCATCCTGGGGATGGGGGGATTGTGTCCCTCCGCTCACCATTGGCCTGACTAGACTTAGAGCTGCAAAAATGAGGCTATCCCCCCCACACACACACACACTCCTGGGATTGAGGAAGTTGAAGAGAGGGTGACTGTGGTATTAAAAGTCAGGATTTAATCATTTTGAGCCAGAGGAGCCTGAAACAGAGCTGTTGGCATTTTTCAAAAGTGATGTCTGAGGGTCACTTACCTAGGCTCAGCGGTCTCTGATGGGGTGGAATGTGCAAAGAAGCTCTTTACTGATTCTAAAATAGGAAGAAGGAGAAAAGAAAGATTCAGGCACTGAACAGAGGTGAGAAACCCACTCTCCAGGCCTAGGAGTGAATGGGTACAGATTACCCAATGGCTGCCAAACTGAGCACCAGGACTAGCCAAACGGGGAGCCCTTGGTATCAGGACCACGTTTGTGCCTGACGGGGCACTGGAGGGGCTCTCCCAGTGCTCTGGGGCCAGAGCACCCATCCCTTCCCTGTGGAGGCTGCTGTGGTCTTACACAGAGGGCAGCGAAGGGCTTTATATGCTCTCAAGACCCAAGAGAAAAGTACATTCGCAAAGGCAGCTCAGGTCTCTGTGGGAGCCAGGAAAATTTCCGTTCCTGGAGAAATTGCCTGCCATGGCAATAATATTTATTTTATATTAGTTCCACAGGGGGGAATCCACTTATGACCACATGCTTTGAAAAGAACCACATTCAAATTTATTGTTTGTTGAAACATGAAAAGGATGACATTTTAGAATCTATTCACACGTTTTCATTATTATTTAGTCTTCTCCGCTTACTTGAAACAGGATGATCATATCAATATTCCAAGGTAGACTTGGATTACAACCTTTTAGAAAAATTTTAAATAAAATTTGTTTTAAATGCCTGTGCTATAATTGTGTGTTAAATTAATTTACCGGCATGGGATCATCATGACTGCAAGTACCCCTTGACCAATAGTTCACATTCTGGGAAAAAAATCTAGTTTACTAAATATCCATCTCTATAACCTGCTGAACTCTTTTTTAAAAAGATTTATTTATGCATACAAGACCTGGGGGTGCAAACCAGAGGAGGGGGCGGTGAAAGGATCCATCAGAGACAGAGTGGGGAGCAGAACAGGTGGATCTGCTGAAATACACTGCTGAGGGGAGCAGCGGGTGAGTCAGGAGAGGTCTGCTGTGCCATGTGGGTAGCTCCCTGGCCGAGGATAGAACTTGTGCTGCAGTAGCTGTGCGTAGCTTCACAGTGCTGCAACTTAATCCCTTGAGTCACCAGAGAGGACTCTAACCTGCTGAACTCTTAAGCAGCCATCACACAAACAAAAACTGTCCTTTTTTTGTGTGTGATTTCATGAAATGGTCAATGGAGAGATGGACAGTCATTAGCATTCATCCTGCCACACATGTTGACTAAGCAGCTTTTTAATGAAGTTTCTCGAATAGGACTGTAATATGAAAAGCATGTAGCAAAAATTTGAAGCTGAGAACAAGCAAATAAAAATAAGGTACTTCCTTCAAAGCTCTGGCCTTGATTTATGCTAGTCCTGAAAAACTATGGCACCCCTAAAATGTATCATCCAGTAATACCGCAAGTTTACAACATGGATTTTAAATCTGTCATGATGTGATGGGCTCACAATGGAAGTAAAACATCAAAGCTCCAACCCAACCAGTTATATCAACCATGTTTTGCTCACTTGTGGTGGAGGTAGTGTGCTGGGGAGACTGATGAGGGGGTACATGACTCCCCAAAATAGGGACTACCCTCCAATGGGGAGAGGTTCCTGAAATACTATGAGTCAGCTTTGTAAAAGATGCTTTGACGGTTTGGGGTCTTTGTGGTGACATGTAAATGTCAGTAAGGCATGCTGTTTCCATGAAGAATGCCGATCGAGACGCCATTGAAATTGGTAAGGATTGCATTGAACTAGCATTGCACTTCAGGTGAGATGGCCATTTGAACAATGTTAATTCTTTTGATCCATGAGCAGGGAATATCTTTCCATTTCTCTGTGTCTTCTACTTCTTTTCACAATGTCTTAGTCTTTTCATTGCACAGATCTTTTATCTCCTTTGCTAAATTTATTCCTGACTCTGAAATTCTTTTTGTGCAACTGTGAATGGGAGTGTTTTCTTGATTTCTTTCTCTTCTAGTCTGGTGTATGCATTTAGGAATGCAATCAATTTTTGTATATGGATTTTGTAAAGTGTCTCTTTATTATACTGATTTATTGCTTCAATGAATGTATTAGT